CTTTTAAAAATGAAAGTGTCTCAGGAAGGATATTCATTCTGTTGTTGCCACTTTGGAGTTTATCCTTTTACTCCCCTACACGACCACACCCTGGGACCACTGCCTCCTCAAAAGGGCAGACAGAGAAAGAAGCAACCGCACTTGTTTGTACAGTGTGTCCAGGCCTAGCTCTGATGAGTTTGCACTTGAGAAATCCTTGACAGGTGACAGATATGACTTAGAGACCCCTGACTTTCTCATTTGTATTTGGGTCAAGGTGGTTATCAGGCATTTGAAGAGTGGGCACCTCAAAAGGGACTTGTACTGTCCCTAAATATTCCTTCACCGCTGTGGTATATTTTTTAAGATTTATTTATTTATTTATACAAGCACTGGGTACAGTCAGAAGCATGGGAGGGTGAGAGAATTCACCAGAGCCAGAGCGGGGAGCAGAACAGGCAGACTGACGAAATACACTGCTGAGGGGAGCAGTGGGTGTGGCAGGAGAGGTCTGCGCAGCACGTGGGACCCTCGCCAGCGGCCGGGGATCGAACCCGCGCTGCAGAGGCTGCTGGCAGCTTCGCAGCCCAGCACTCAACCACTGCGCCACCAGGGAGGCCCACCGCTGTAATATATTTCACTGCTGTAATAGGACAGCTCCACATGCCATGGGTATACTAATGGGAATTTTTTCTTAAGTGTGCATTATTTAAAAGAGATAAGGAGGGCCTCCCCTGGTGGCCCAGCGGTTGAGCGTTGGGCTGCAAGGCTGTCCGCAGCCTCTGCAGCACCAGGTTCGTTCCCCAGCTACCGGCGAGGGTCCCACAAAAAGAAAAATAAAATAAAATAAAAGAGATAAGGAAATCAATCAGAAATGCAGATCTGAATAACAGGGTACCCTTATTTGGTGAGAACGTGCCTTATGCCGCTTCACATTTATTGACAACTCCAGAGTGTCTGTGTGCACATGAAGGAAGGCACTTTGAAGCGTGTCCCCTTTGTTTTTATTTTTTTTTAAGATTTATTTATTTATGCATATAAGTACTGCGGTGCAGGCCAGAGGTGCGGGAGGGTTAGAGGATTCACCAGAGATGGAGTGGGGAGCAGAACAGGCGGATTGACTGAAATATACTGCTAAGGGGAGCAGCAGGAGAGACAGGAGAGGTCTGCTGTGCCATGTGGGTCACCTTCCTGGCCAGGTATTGAACTCGTGCTGATACCTTCATAGTGCTGAGACTTAACCCCTTGTGCCACCAGGGAGGCCCAGAAGTGTGTCCCCTTTGACCACAGAGCCAACGAGGCACAGCCTGTGGGGTGGGCTCTGCAGCAGCGATGCTCAGGCTCTATGTGGCATTTTTAAGAAATTAAATTATGTTTATTGAGGTAACAGGTTTACAGCAGGTATGTTTCAGCCATGAAGCTTCTCACCTCCTCAGATGTTTGTTACCAGACTTCCCTCACCACCTAAGACCCCACAGTCCTCCAGCCGCTATTGGGCCCCCTCCCTCCTTTGCTCTAGCCCCTCCCTGACTTACAGCCTTAATTCTCCAGGCAGATTTCTAGGGTTTGTTTTGCTTTAGTTTTGTCTGTGTCTTATTTCTGTTTCTCTATATTGCTCACAAGTGACATCTTCTAGTATTTGTCCTCCTTCTGACATACTTCACTTTGTATCATCCCCTCTAGTTCCTTCTATGTTGTTGCAAATGACCACATTTCATCTTTTTTTTTTTTTAATAGCTAAGGAGTATTCCATTGTGTAGTTATATGTACCACATCTTCCTAATCCACTTTTCTGTTGCTGGGTGCCTAGGTTGTTTCCATGGTTTGGCTATTTATTATAACTAGTGCTGCAGTGAACATACACGTGCAGTTATGGCACCCAGTTAGTGTTTTTGCAGTCTTTGGGTAAAGACCAGGTCATATGGGAGATCTATTTTTAAAGTTTTGAGGAACCGCCATCGTGTTTTCCGTACAGGCTGTACTAGTCTGCATACCCGGTGTGGTATTTGATATGATCTAGAAAGTTATTTTTGAGTTCTAGAAATGCTTTAATTTTTTTCCATATAAATTAATGGTAATTGCTGTTTTGGCTGATGAAACATTTCATGGGAACACCCTACTTTTGCTTAACGAGGGAAGCCTGTATATGTTGCTACATGTCTTCATACTGTTCTTGTGGATTAAAATGATAAATTTACTTATTTTTTTAAACTTAACAACTAAATATTATAAAATTATGGTTCACTCCTGTATTTAGCAATCACTCACAGAGTATCTCGTGTGACCTAGGTATTTGTGCTGTAAAACTGGTGATGGTGGTTTTCTGCTAAAACTCAGGCTTTACAAAATATTTGAGATTGTCCAGTAACTGGAGGTAAGGAAGAGAGAGGGGGAGATGGGAGTGCTGGTTTGGGAGAAGGAAGGAAGAGGAAAGGGCAAGGAAGGGATTGATGAAGGATAAATGGAAAGACGTTATTGAGCAAGTTAAATCTTTTGGTTCTTAATATATTTTCTTGTTTTTAATTACACATGTGTTACCTGGTTTGGTGCTCCTTGCTTAGACAATAATTTCCCAGCTATGGCTTTTATTTTTCCTTGGCGCACTATAATTTGACATTAGTTTTAATATAGTTTTTTAAATATTTGTTTCTTTTCAGTATAAAAGAACTTTATGGACCAGTTTGCCAACAAGTACCTGCAAAATTTGAAGAGCTGAAGAAAAAAAATCAGTATTAAACTTGTTTCTTTAAAAATGTAAGTAAATTCACACTCCTTGGCAGTATTCATTTCTGACATCTTTACAGCCTTCAGTTATCTTTCTGTATACTCAGTGTGAATGTTTCCTCCTCATTAAGTCTCGTGAGAATTCATGATCTTTTCCCCTCTTCAAAGATATATATTTTTTTATTCAAACTATATGACTAATTAAAGTGGCTAGAATTGACACATGTTATGGCATTCAAGGAGAAGATCTTTTTGGAGGGACACCATGAGGGAAAACAAAGACCTGGTAAAACATCAAAAGCACCACCCGCTTCTCAAAACCTTTATTGCTCTTTATCCCACAGACCAATTCAGTGCCCACCTAAGCCAGTGGGAATTGCTTGTCCACCCATTCTGGACCCCCCAGACATAGAAAAATGAAGGGTTTTCATAGAAGCTTATTCCTCCCAGTTTCTCTTGCTCAGTGATTATACATTTCAACTGTTCATTGAGCTTTAATCTACTGAGTGACATGTGCTTGACTAATCCATTTCACTCCATGGTCATTCAACCAATACTTTCCCTGACTGCTTGCCATGTGTCAGGCACCATCGTGACATTGTCCTCATGCCACCTGGCAAAGGAGAGGATAGCATTTTGGTGTTTGGATAAGGAGTTTCAGAGTGGGGAGGAGCGTGCAGGTGACCACGCAGCCAGTGAGTGAGCTGCAGCAGCTAGGAGGTACTGTCTGACTTTACCACTTGCCTGTTCTTCCTGGAACAGCAGTGGGTAGGAGACCAGAACCTTCTGGGAATGTGATCCTATCCTTGTAAACCTTGGCGGCACTCACAACAAGGAAGGAAGTTAGAAAACCAATTTCCCATTTTTGTCAAGTGTCTGTACTTTGGTGGGAGTTCAGAGCATTAATGTCCAGCCCAGCTCTTCCATGGACATCCTTCATGGATTGGGGCTATCTGACCTCCACGGGAAACAACCACCCTTTGGCAAACTAAGGATAGCAGGCCAGCCTGCCTTGAGGGTGTCTGTTGGCCAGCTTTTCATGGAAGTTTCTATACATGGAGGAAAGGGCACACAGGTAAGTGGGTGGCTGGATGGACTGATTGTCTCAAGTGGATACACCTGTGTTGCCAGGGCCCCAGAGCCCTCCTCCCGTAATGCCGCCCAGAGTAATAACCAATTTCCTGATTTGTAATGTTTTTGCTTTGTTTTAACTAGTTTTAAAGTTTATGTAAACAGAATCTTTCAGTCCCGCCGGTTTTATCATGTTGGGCCCTTTTCCTATGGCTTCAGTGAAATTCCTCCCCTGAGATGTGTACTGTTGGCTTTTGTCTTGGTCCTCGCTCCCAGGGCCTTCTCTCTCCATCTCATTTATGGTCATTGGGAGTGTAGCAATGTCTAGTCTGGGCACATCATAAACAGCACTCCAGGGAGTGTTCCTGTGCTTATCTTTTGTGTTTGTTCAGGACCCCTTGGTCCATGGAGCAATGCTAAACTAGGTCTTTGGTAGCAGACAAATTGATTTAGGAAGCCAGGTGACTTGTCTGCTTGGCTTGCGGTCCTAGCTAAGCATGCTGGACAGGAACAGAGGAAGTGGTTGTTATTGCTGTCTGTGGGGGGCAGGTGGAAGCCCTCTGAGATTGTGTGTCAGGTGCCAGCTTGCTCCCCTGGCCTGTAGGCCATCGCTTGCCTGGCCCTGGAAGGGACTTCAGAGAGGAAGTCAGATTCAGAGGGGAAACATATTCAGAAGGGAGATGTGTCTGGCCACCACTTGTCATGGTTAGGTTATGTCAACCTTCAGATCGAGAGCCTGGAATGTGACCCCCTAGGGGCAGAGTTGACTTGTGAGACCTGAAGTGTTTATGAACAAGAAGAGAAACAGAGAAATAAATATTGACTTGAGCAGGCAGGCTGGGTCTTAGAAGGGGTTTGAAAAGCATTTTTCTTAATAAATTTATCAAATCTAACTTTGTTTTAAGCAAGACTTGAAAAACCAGTCCCTAAAGTAGCAATCGTGAACCAGGAATGAACTTAATCAGCAAAATTGCCAAAGTAGGAGAAAGGTCTCTTTTTCAGATGCAGACAGCATGTGAACTTGTGGCCTTGAGGTGACATAGTTCTGTGTTCCTCTGTATTCATGGCCTCGCTGGGTCAGCTTCCTTAGCTGTAAAATGGGGACATTCATATGCCCATGCTTGAGGATTGTGGTGACAGGTTACTGGCATAGAGTGAGCAAGAAGTGTCTGGGCATAGAGCACAAGCACTAAAAACAGCCATTCTCATAATTATCCCATCTTACTATTACTGCTATCAGCCATGTCATTCTGTATCTGATATTGATAGGCGTTTTCAGATCTGTTTTTTAAAACAATAAAGCTAGTTTCTTTTTTTAAGGATGGTGAAGCCTAGCAAAAATATTTTCCCACTTGCATCACCCTAAACTGAAACTCAAAGGCAGGATGAAGGGAAACATTTGTCCGTGTGTCCCTGGCCTGGCCCTCCCGGGGTGAGTCACTGGGAACTCTCGGTGGTTGAAATGCTTTACTCGCTAAGTTCGGGGAGAGCTCTGAGGGACATGGCAATGTTGGATCCTTTCACACAAAGCAAAGTAGCAATTTTATATATACGGCACTCAAGTCTTGCCAGGCATTTTGCCAACAAAATCCTGTTACCCAGAGTCTTTGGTGATAGGTTGGGAGGGAGATTCACCGCAGATCACAGCCAGTCTCGGGGTGTGTTCAGTTGGCTGTGGCCAGTGGTATTTTCCCACATGTTAGTGAACCCTGGACCAACGATTGGGCCACGTGGTGTAGACTCAGCTTGATCTTGCTGTCGGTGACATGAACCTTTAACAAATTAATAAACCAGTGTCCTAAAAAGGAGACTTTTAGAGTGACTTTAGTAAAAGAGATTTGACCCAAAATGTTGAAACTCAAGTTCTGACTTCTTTGCCCACAAGCTGTGATGCCTCAGGTCTGTCGTTAAGCCTTGGAATCAGTTTCACCATCTGTAAAAACAGAAGTTAATTTAAAATGGGACTAGGAAGTTGAGAATTCTGCGAGTTCTTGAAAGGTAACAATACCTCATTCTAGGCATGTTTATAGATTCATCCCAAGTGAGCAGATTTTGCTACTTATAATAGTGGGGGTGGAGCTGGAGCTGGAGCGGTTTTAGCATGATCGAAGTTCATGGAATAATGTCCCCAAAAGATGAAGAACCCATGAGTGGACTCTTCTGACTTTAAGCTGTGGGAGGACATTTGCCTTCACTGTCACTCTGGCGTCTGCTATAATCAGCTCAGGTTCACCTGCTCTGTCCACTAAAGGACGTTTATATGTCTTTTTAAATTAAAGGAATAATATCCAAGACATGATTCTTAAATATAGGGCTCAGCTGCATTTGGAAAGCCGTGATTGACCTTCCTTGGGTTTCTATTTAAATTCTCCAGCATTCCTGTAGTAGCTGGATGAGTCCCAAATGAAACTGACCTTTGTTTTGATATTGTTTCTGATGTTGAAGAAAATATTCATTAAAGAGCATTATTTAAAAATTAGCATGGACATGAAATGTTGGCGTAAATGGAAGTAATACATGAGAGTAAATGCTAAATAGCGTCATCCCATCAAAATTGCATTTGAGTTCTCACTTCTGTCCTTAGAGGTGTCTGCATGATGCTGACGCAGGATGATGCATTGGAAAGAATTTAAGTAGCAGCTTGGGCATTTTTGTGCTTCTGGTCACTTTAGATGTTCTGACAGCGGACCAGGAGAAGTGACTCTGCTTGTGCTGATGGTTCTTATGGATGGTGGAGGGAAAAAAGCAGTGAGAGCCTTTGAGTCTAAGGATGAGCTGGGGCTCTCATTGGCTTCACTGTTCTGTCTCCCTAAGGCCCAGGAGGCTGTGCGATTTTGCAGGGCTAGACTCAGGCCACCTTGCTCATTCCACCTTGGGTAGGAGTTGTTTCTACTCTGGGATTGTAACTACTGAGGGGCAGTCATTCCCAGAGGAGGGCAGCCTCCATCCCACTGCCCCTGTACACCCAGCTCCATGCCCATTTTGCAGCCTTCATCACTTATTTGGGGATGAACTCTACTACCTCCTGTCATTTCTGGACTAAATATCGCTTATTCATGTGAAAAGACTGCTGCATGTAGCCCTCCTGTTTGCAGTGATGTCATCAGTTCTGTGGTGGGTTTTGCATCACTGGTTCATTATAACGCGAGACAACACGTAAGTGAAGTTTTTTTCATCAAGAAACCTCTCAAAAGGGTTTCCCGTTGCTTTGTTTTCATTCTTTCTCCGTCTCCTACCAAATATCTGAGATCACCTTTCCCATAGAAAGTTGATGGAGTTGGGTCTTTAAGACTGTTCTTCAAGTAGACACTTCCTTGTTGTGTGAGTGTGGATGGAGGGTGAGGCTGAAGTCCTTTGCTCGTCCGACTGAAGCCATAGCAGCCCTTGTTTTCTTCTCACTTTGTAGGTATCAGCAGTCACTGACTTTGCTTTTTTTTTTTTTTTTTAACTTACACAGAGTCACAATAGAGTTAACTGCAGACAGAGAAAGAAATGGTTTTCCACATTTAGCAAATGAACAATTCAAGAACTTGGGGTGTGGGTATGTGAGTACTGGCTTTGGAATGGGACAGGTACATGCTTTTCTCTCAAGTTGCCAGACATTCATCATGTCACTTGAGGCCTTTACTATCTCTGATGGCACTTACGTTTGTAATCCCAGCAGCTTTTTAAGAAGGGGCAAAAGGTTTAAAGGAATTCTGACTTCAGCTAGTGGGTCTGTCATGTCAGGTTTGGGTATTTGGGGGAGACTTGTGTTCTGGCTGCAGAGGTGGAATCAGCTGAGGCTGTCTGTTGATTTAGGAGTGAAGAAGTGGAAGAAGGGGTTCCATCATTCCCACTACTTAGCTCCAGACTGTGCATCATCAGGAAAGAGCTGTGGCAGGGCCCCCAGAAGTTCTGTGCCCTCGGCATACCCTCAGCTGTCTCCTCGTCAGATCAATGCTGGCTTCTTCGAACAGGAGACTTAATTAGCTGTGGGCAGTTAGCAGCTACTAGGTAGCAGCCCTTTAGTGTGTAGGCAAGAAAGCACACATGCTGTCTCTTTAGAAATGATGGTTGATGTCAGACCTTGAAGTATTCTTGACAGTCTCCTGTGGCCATGACCTTGACCTGTGACCATGACCTTGAACTGAGGTGTGTGATAACTCTGCTTGTCCCTGGTTTTCAGTTTGTGTTTTAAAGGCAAAATTGTCCTCATACCATCAACTTTTCTTGGTTGTGTGTTTGTTTTTACTTTATTCTTTTTCTTCTGTGGTAGGAGTTATGTGCTTGACTTTATATACTTGGGCCATTTGGTCCTATGACATGAAGGGATTGAGAAGAAAAGGTCATCAGCTGTCTTTCTGGGCTATTCTGGGCATTTTGTACTATATTTTAGATCCAGCTTTTTTTCCCTTTTGCTCTTGATTGCTGAGGAGCTGTGCCTCTTCCTCCCACGTCCTCTCCTCTTGCTTGGAAGCTTTTCAACAGATCTGCAGTTGGATGACCATTGTGTTCAACAAATAAACACTCTCTCAACCTGGGAGAGAGTCAGGAAGACAGGATGGAATTCTCCATTGTAGCCTTGGGTTCTCATGCCTGGAATTCCTGGAGCTGAGAAGGCAGATCCCACACAGTGATGTCCTGAAGTTACTTCCTGCTGTTGGGGGTTAGCTTTCCTGAAAGGAAGCGTGGCTTTTGGGGCGTTCTCGAAAGTTTTGGATCATTAGGTGAGATTTAAATGGTCTTATTTTCTGTAAGTTTTGAGAAGTTAAGGAATGAGTTTGCTGTTGAAAAAACTGGACTTTTTGATTCTTTACAGTCACAATTGGTCCTGAGTTTTGGTGCTTTCAGAATGGTTGTGTCATCAGAAAACCCAGCTTCAGGCAGGAAGGACGTGGCCTTCAAGAAGTAGCAGGCCTTTACTGTATAAGATTTCTTCTAAGAGAAAAACCAAAGCCAAGCCCTCTTATCTTGTCCCCGGTGCCTCTGGCCTGCTGACCCTGCTCCTTCCTGCCCCGGGCAGCTAAGCAACAGTGAGCCCTTCCTGAAGTGAGGCCAGGTCTGATGCGTCTGGAGGGGTAGAAGATATGGTATATTCTACCCAAGTGTGGTGGCATCCAAAGGTGATTTTGGTTCCCTTGCTTGTGACTCTGCTCAGTGCGTCCTCAGCAGACAGAGCTGACCGTGGTCGGTGTATTCTGGCTGCTGCCTTGCAGCTTTGCCTGACTTAGTCCAGGCAGTTGCCGTTTGTAGAAGTCCAGCCTATACAGTTGCCATGAATTGTGAACTAGAGAGAAGGAGCTTTTGCTTCGGGGGGCAGAGGACAGGCTTGGGTGGCTGTCACCCTGTCACCACATCTTCTCTGCTGATTAAGGCATAACTTTCTTCTGTCTAAAGGGAGCTCTTCAGTATTTGGTGTTGGCTCATTAGCAGTGAGCTTCCAGCCAGCAGCTCTAAGTGATGCTTGAGTAGTGAGGCCTGTCTCATGTACCTCATTTCTCCCCCATAAAGCTTGTTTCACCCTTCCTGCATTTTGGAACACTGACTGGCACTGCAGGACTAGGTTTGGGGACCACTTGACATAGTAAAATCACCCCCCAAAAGCCCCAGTATACACGAAATGGGGCCTGGACACACTCTGCTTGTTTAGTGGATCAAAACTGAGCTGATTCGAGAAGGTAGAGCGGGCAGGCCTGCTTGATCTTGACCTGGACATGCACAAAGTTATCTGATTTTTGCTGCTCTGTGCACATCCACACGTGACTGTTAAAGCATCCAGAGTATAGATTTGGGGTTAGAAATAAATTTCAGTGAGTGGGCAGATTCACAATTGTCTACTCTGTTATATAAGCAAGTCATCCCAATGACTGTGGCAGGAATCTGCCTCAGTCCAGCTCTGCAGGTCATGTAGAAACCATTCCTTGAAGACAAGAATGTATTACGAGCTGGTGCTATGAGCAATATTCACAACACATTTGGGAAGATCACGGAAGATCGAGGGCATCAAGGAAAACCTGCCCAAGGGGTATTTCCTGTTGTTGAACATATGACAGTGAACCCTTCTTCCTGGGCTTTTAGCATCACAATCACCTGTGTGTCCCCATGTCCTTGGCATGAACCGGAATAGTGGACTGCACATAGTGGGACCTCAGCGAGTGATTAGGAGCTAAATACATGAATGAGAAAAAGAGCAAAGAGCTCTTGGCTTTGTGGTGACCACAAAGGGCCCACTGTAGGCCCCCTTAGGAGCCTGGGCATCTTTTCAGCATATATAAGTCCTAGCTGTATTGACTAAATTAACTCATGGACAGGCTTGCTGTCAGAAACAGGAGTATCTTAGAGCTGGTGTAGCCTGGAGAATGAAATAAGGGTAGTGTCAACCATATGGAGAAAATTGCTTAAGTGCGTTTGACTCCTTCTATCTTGCCAGGGAGCCTGGCTGGCTGTTTGCCTCCTTCTAATATTACTGCCACATTGCTGTGGTTAGAAACTTCTTTCCATAACATGGATTTAATCACCTCAGTCTTTTGCTTCAAAATCTTCACACTCCCCAAAGGACACAATTCAAAACTCCTTAGAAACCTGGCTCCATCCCTCCACTTCATATTTTGATCTCCTACCATTTACCCAAATATACCCAATTTCAAGTTACAAAGGGCTTTGTTCTGCTTCTCCAGTCTCTAGGACCTCTGGCCTTTGCATAGGCCATTCCCTATGCCAGTGTTGTTCCTCTCTCAGCTCCAGTTCCTATTAAAGTGTCCTACTGTGCCTGGTGAAATGCACATGTCCTGGCACATGTGAGTTCTTCAAGGCAGGCTCCGTCATACTCTTCCCTTTGTACAGCCTCTGGCATGTTAAGGTTTGGTAAATGTGTTTGAGCAAATGGATGAGTCTAAGCATTATCTGCAGGATTTGGAAATACATAGGCTTTTGAAATGTCTTAAATAAAAA